ACTGGGAGATACAGATGGGGTGTGCTGGGATAGTAGGTGTGGGGGGGCATGTTGGAAGGGTGGTGGGGATGTGCATGGCAGGGGGGTGTCCCTGGGGGGATACAACTGGTGGCAGAGGCGCATCTGGGGGGTCTGGATGTTCGTGGGGAGCTGCCTGGGATGTGACAGCATTGAGGTCCAGCTGTGTGCAGCTGGAGGGAGGAGAGGCAGGTCTCGGGAGGGGGTGCAGAGATGGGGGTCATGTCTCTGGCAGGGTACGGATGTCGGAGGCGGGGGCATGTGGTTCCTGGGGCTGTGGATGCGTGTGGCAAGGGGGGGCAGGCAGGGAGGAGGCCCTGCAACCCAGTGCCACCACTCCAGCTGCTGGGAGGCCCAGAAAAGGAGCAGAGCCTGAGTAGATGTCCCAGCTCTCAGGGGCAAGCTCTACTCCCACCCCTCTTCCAAGACCCCTGTCATGCAGCGAAAACTCAGAGCTGGCTATGACCCCCCGCTCCCAGGGCCTGGATCCCTGTGTGCAGGGCTAGACACCAGCCCAAAGGCAAGGAAAGGAAGGGGCCACAGCTCCCACTTCCTGGTGCATGGCCTGTGTGCGCTGCCTTTCCTTCTGCGCCCATCTGTGCAGCAGTCGCGCCCTGCCACTAGATGATGCTCCCGCCCCGTGCTCGCTTCACGCTGTGCTTGGTTTATCCAGCTGCTCTGCTTGGGGAGAAAATAACTCTGCAGCTGCTTGGCCCTGGCCCCGGCCCCAGTGGGCTAGCAGAAAACTTGTGCCACATGGCCAGGGGCCAAGCCGTGTGTGGCTGGGGGATCTGACACCAAATCTCATCCTGGCAGCACTCAGGGCTGCTGGAGAGGGGGCACATACCAGCGAAGCCTCCCTGCTGCTCCAATGCACCAGGAGCTGACTCCTGTTGCAGGGCCTGTCGCCATCCTCAGGAGACCTGTGCTCTGCTCCCCTCCAGGGCACAAGGCATGAGTCTGTGCCCTGCTTGCCAACAGGGCCCAGGCACAAGCCAGCCCCAGCAGGCAGCAGGGACCAGTGATCTCCTCCCCCCCACCTCGCTAGCCCAGCAGCAGAAGAGGACTAACGCCATTACGTCCCCCACCGTCCCCAGGGGCCAGACATACTCCGGCCTAGCCTTGCCCAAACCCAGCACAGCCAGTCAACCGGTTCCAACACTGGAGCCCCAGTGCTCCCAGTAAAGCCTGCACAGCAGCAAACCACACACTACAAGGAGGCTGGGATGGAGCCCAGGTCTGCCGTCTGGCTCCCAGAGCACTGCAGGGGCCGGCAAAGCCTGGCTGCAGAGGGCTGTTAACCGCCGGCCCAGCACGCCTTACCCCCCCCCGGCTCCGAGAGCTCCTGCCAGCTATCTAGGCCAGCGGAGCACCATCTGTCCCAGCAAGATTATTGCCAACAGAATAAGAAAGGCCTGAGCCCAGAGATTAAATATTTAATAGCACGTCTGTGCCACGGGGAAGCACATCCCTCCAAGAGGGGAGGCAGCTGAGCAGATCTGGCACTTGCCACGTGGCATGGCTGGTACAGAGAGGGGGTCCCGGAGCCTCAGTCCTGACCTGTGCAGCTCAGCAGGGCTGAGAGCGCCCCGCTCTGGGGACTGCAGCTGGGGCTGGCCTCAGCATGTTGGTGGCCACAGCTACTCTGGCAAAATGGTTGATTTCTCCTACCTGCTGCACACACACACACGCAGCCCTTGATCTGCGCGTGCTCAGGGCACACGTGTGGGAGCCCGGCGTGTGCATGGCCCTGGGAGGGGGAGCACAGATGCACACGACGGCTCCAGGCCAAACTCTCAGCTTGCACCAACCCCACAGCCCAGCTGCCCTGTGCCGCTGGGAGAAGCGGAGCCACCGGTTCCTCCCCAGGTGCACTCAGCCCTGGCTCTCCCGCTCGCCCCATCCCACCCTGTCCCTGGGAGCATCGGACCCTGAGCCCCACACGTGCCTTGTGCCCAGTGCTTGCTGGACTCCTGGCCCAGCAGAGGGGCTTGGAGCCGGGGCTGGGATCTGCCTCTGGCCAGCGGCTGCCCCGTCCTCCAGGGCTGCACCGACATGCCCCGCACTCCCCCCTGAGAGCTTCCTGCGGCTCCTCTCAGGCTAATGAAATGGAGCAGCCAACGGCTGCTGGATGCTGCAAAGCCAAGCCTGGCTGTTTCCACAGCAACAGTCAGGCTCTGATTTATTTCCAGGGTAATTAAAACCGCCCAGAGCCGTGCACCAGCTCTGGGCCGCCCCTGCCACACACACACCCTAAGAGCCTTGGACGGCCGAGCCGGCTGCACCTCACCAAGGTCTTGCAGGAGCCTCCGGACCACGCCAGCCTCCACAGATGGGGAGAAGTGGCAGTGGACCATGTGCCCCATATCACCCCATCTCTGCTTCCCCCTCACCCAGCTCCTGGGTCTCCCTCGCGTCGGTGCCCCCAAGACGGGCTAAGCTGCATGCTGGGCTCAGTCCTTCTGACCCACCCTGCAGACCCAACAGGCCCTCGAAGGCCAATTAAACATGGCAAAGGAGAAATCCCCCCTTCCGCGCCGCAGATACCACCCACCTCCGGCTGCCCTGAGCACGCCACTGGGGGCTGAGCAGGGATAACGTCTAGGCTAGAGCTGTGGGTGCTGAGAAAAGGGGCCCCTGTCCTGGAGGGCACATTGGTTAAAGGACTGGATCAAGCCTCTGGTTTCTCCTGTGTCCAGGATGGGGACTAAGACCTTGCCCTCGGCCCCAGGTTCTGCCGTAAGCTGGAGTTTCACCCTGGCACATATGATGCCCATGCTGGAACAGGCCTGCATGACCCAAGGGTGATGGATAACAAGCATATTCCCACACCGAGCACTCACAGAAGGGATGCAGGGTGTCAGGGCATCTCTTTGTGCACTCCTGGCTGGGCTGAGGGGCAGAAGACCAGCCCGTTCACCCCTCAGCCGGAGGGAGGGAGATGTGGGCCATGTGCCAGCAGGGTTTCCAGGCTGGAGAGCAAGGCAGCTGGGCCGGTGGGCACCACCAGTGCCTGGGCAGAGACCCCAGCACACAATCAAGGCCCACCCGCTGCCCCAGGGGTGGCAGATGGAGCTTGCACTGGCTTCTGCCAAATAGAAGGTGGCACCTGGTTGGCAGCATCCAAGTGCATCGCACACCGGCTCCAAAGGGCTGTGCCAAGCCCCCCAGCCATGGGGGCAGGCAGGGGATGTGACAGGGGCAGGAGGTACCTGCACATTCCCAGAGGGCTCAGCTGTGCTATGAAGCACATGGAAAATGCTCTGGGGTCCATAAGGGCCCGTCATGGTCAGGACCTCAGCTTTATGTCCTCTTAACGGCCATGCTGGGAGACGGAGGTAAGGTGTCCCCAGCATGAATCAGTAACAACAGGCTTTGACAGCCTTCATCACAGCCGCCTCTGGGAAGGGGACCACTGCAGCTCATGCAGCAGGCACCCGCTGGCTGCCCTGCAATGCTAGTCTTCAGGATTAGTGCCCAAGGCTTAGCCCCTGGGGATACGAATATGTGGAGGAGGGAAGAAAGGGCTGGGATTTCACACTAGAGTCCCCAAAAGGGCACACTGGGGTTTTGCAGTCCTGTGCCAGTGGTTCTCAACATTTTTAGACTCCAGGCACCCCTCGGACAACCCCAACTCACTGCTTTCATTGGCTTCTCGACTATAGGAAAATAATAGATATTTGCAAATATGAATATAGATAATAATAATAATAGATATTTATACGAGATACATATATAGATATCTGCAATATTGCTGTTGCAAAAAACTCTGAATGCCTGGGGCACTCTGGGTTCCTATTCTCTGTCTCTGGGCTTACCTTGGGAGTCACGCACATGTGTTTGCACACTTCACCGTGCTAATAGTGCACGGCACACTCAAAAGCTCATGCAACCCAAGGGTGCTTAGTAAATCCCTCCTCTAAGCAAACCCCAGGCTACATGGGAGTCTCTGCTGCTGGCACTAGTGGGCAGCACTCTCCCAGAGCTCAGCACATGGCCAGGGGCTCTGTCAAACCAGGCGGGGGAGAATCACTGGTGCTGCAAGAAGGGCATGAAGGAATGAGCATGGAGAGGAAGGGTGGAGGGACAGCGCAGGAATGCAAAGACCTCCAAGACAGGCCAAGGGACCAGTGCGGACAGACCCAGGGGCTGAAGATGCAGCTCGAGATGGGGCTGGCCCACGGCCAGGTCTGAACAGGGCAGGGGACTCCTTGCATGGGGTCATCAGCTGAAGACCCCAGGACCTGCCTGGAAGGAGGGACGAGGTGGACCAGAACCCCTCTGGCCCCAGAGACACCAAGCACATAAGAAGCACAAGTGACAGAGCACAGCTTTCTCTTTGCTTCCCAGCCGGCAGGCAAAGAAAGCCTGAGCCCAGACTCTGCCCCGCAAACCTTTCCAGTGGGGGCTGAGGCAAAGCCGCAGACAAATGAGCCGGATGCAGCCATCAGCGTGTGAATAAACAGCTTCAAGTGAGAGGAGGGAAGGCACAGACCGCAGCCCCCGGTACGTCAGCCTCCTCAACCCAGATCTGCCTACCTGTGCAGAGGATCCCACCCTGTTGCAACTCAGTCAGCTTGGTGCCTCCTGCTTGACAAGGACTGCCCCTTGCCAGTCCCTGGGAACAACCTGGAGGAGAGATGAAGATGCAACAGATGAAGCCTTCAAGTGACCCCTCACAAGAAGAGAGTGAGGCGCAACCCTCGGCTGCTCGATAAATGCAGCCCGCAGGCTACAAAGGGCTGCAAAAACCTGGCAAGAAAGCAGGGGGGGCCTCGAGGCTGCCAACAGACTCTTGAACAGTAAACTGCCCAGGCTCAAATTCTGGGCTTGAGAGAATGATCTAAGATCAGGGACTTCACACCCCAAACCTCCTAAGCAAGGGCTGGCCTGGATGGGACAATGTTTGTGGACAAGCGTCCCAGAAAACCTTGAACAAGATAAATGTTACCAACAGCCGATGCAAAAAGGTGGGCATGATCATAGGAGCGTAGAAAAGTGGGGCTGGATGGGACCTCAGGGGGTGACGCTAGTCTAGCCCCTGCTCCCTGTTTGAACCACCCCAGGTAAGGGTTTGTCTGACCTGCTTTAGAGCCTCTGGCACCTCTCTGGGCAGTCTGTCCCAGTGCTTCCTCACCGCCACCCTTAGAAAGCTTTTCCTAACGGCCAATTCGAATCTCCCTCGTTGTCCTGGGTGGTCGCAAAGAATAGCCTGTGGCCACCCTCTCTGTAACCACCCTCCAGGTATTTGTAGCCCCGGGACTGGGGTGGTGCAGGGGATAAGGCGCATGGTTGACAGCCTGGAGGTCGAAAGGTGGAGGCCATAACCAAAGCACTCACGGCGCAGCTTGAGTCTGACAAATCTGCAAATTTGGCTGAACCCCTTGTCAGGAGGACACGTAAAAGGAAAGGAAGGATCAAATCTCAGCTTCTCATCTCCAGACCAAACAACCCCCAGTCTTTCCTCCCATGCCCTCGAGTTCTCATCTTTTTTGATCCTTGACTCGTGGTGGCCACCTAGTCCGTGCAGCACACGCCACCCTCCACCATGAAGCGCTAGAGGACCAGGTTTTAAAGCTAGACAAAAGCCTTCCCCACCCCGACACAGCCCCATGCCAGGACACCCAGAGCAACCACAGCCCCACCTCAGCAAGCAAACGCGCTGACAAGTCAATACTCTCACTACACGGGAAACCAGGAGGGTATTTCCCCCTGATCACGCAGCCTAGGTTGTGTTTGGGGACCTTCCAACTGCCTTGTGACAGCAACGGATAAAGTACTGAAGAGCCCCTATCAGACACGGGAGCCACGACTGCCAGCTGGGAATAGGAAGTGGGTGATGCCCAGAGTGGGGGAAGGAGGACACCCCCAGAGGAAGGACCAGGGCACTGCGTGGTCTAAGAGGCAGCCACCCCAAAAGATAGGGTCTAAAACCCTGGGATGCTCCCTCAGTCTATCAGAGCTGGCAAGAGACTCCCCATTATAACGCGGGGGCAACGGAGCTGCGGGACCCTGCTAGAAAGCAGGAAGAGCGCTTCTGGGAGCACCAAACCTGCCGTCCTTGAGCCATGATGCCCTTGTGTGACTATGACTGGAGCCTTGTTATTTCGGCAGGAAGGCCTGTCCTGCCCAGGGCTCACCGCGAGCAGCTGCGCCGTGTCGTCGCAAAAACTAGCCTGTGTTTTGATTTTTGGAAGAAGGAAAATGGGAGAAGCCAGGGAGGGGGCTGGGGGAAGGAGAAGAGGCAGAGATGCAGCAAGGAAGAAGAGGCGAAGGGCTGGTGTGCTCTGGCTGGACCAAGCTTTAGATGGCAACAGGCAAGCGCACCCCCAGCCCAACCACCCCCGCCAGCTTTCCCAGCCCCCAGAGCACCTCTTACTGCTGCTCAGCATGTCCCACATGCACCAGTGAAGGCCAGGGCTCTGCAACGGGTTGGGACTGCCATCCCCTTCGGCTGCTGACAGTGGCGTCAGGAATCCCCTGAGAAGCAAACCCAGTGTTTGGTTTCTACAGCCCCCTGCGGTGCGCAGGCTACACCTCCCGCTGTGTTCCTCTCCTGGAGGGCAGAGTCGGGACAGCTCCGTGCCCGGTCAGAGCCACGCAAAGGGGTCACTGCCTGCCCCCATTCCTCCTCTGGTCCTCAGCGGGGTGCTTACCACCCCCCCGGGGCCAACAGAGCTGCATGCTGATGCCACCGTGCCACACAGGGCTGGGATGGATGACGTGGTACTGGGATGCAGCTCAGCAGTCTGGGCACTGAAGGGTCCCAACCCACCCAGGTTAGCACGACTGGCAGCTCCTGCACAGGAAAAGCTCGGGTTAGTTAGGGGGAGCACAGGAGGGTGGCAGGTCACAGCCTGCCATGGTGTGGGACCAGGGCTGCAGGGCAGGTGGGAGGTGCAGAGGCATGGCGGTTCAAATGCAGAAGACCGAGCTCCCTGAAAGGGGCGACTGTGTCTCAACAGCACTTTCTGCAGGCTCCTTGCTCTGCCCAGAGCTGTTTCCAGCTCAGCAGGAGAGCGTTGCCCCTGGCTGGATTCAGCATCACAGCCAGGGCTCCGGGCACTCCCGAGCAGTGACCCACAGCCCCGAGGCCTCCCTGCCCAATCCAGCCGTCCGCAGCCCATGGGAACCAGGCTCCCAGCACCGCGGTGGTCTGGCCTCGCCCGTACTTGGCAGCCCGACCGGCCTTGCTCCAATTTGCAGCGAGTGGAGAAGCTGCTGCTTTCTTCCAGGGTCCCTCCAACCCCCCTCGGCTTCCCTCCCCAGACAGAAGTCGCTGAGTTTGCAATTAGCTTTCCCAGAATGCTTGGCCCCGAGCCAAGGATTTGGAGGAAACGGAGCTGCGTCCTGCGAACTGAGTAGGCAGGCCTGCTCTTCCCCTCCCCTCCCCTCCCCTCCCCTCCGGCCCGTCTCCTGTGTATGAACCTGCTCCAGTGCACACACTCACTCGCACGCACGCTCACTCGCACAGCGGGCTGGGACTGCTCTTGGAGAAGTCATTCCTTTGGCACCCCAGCTCCTCGGTGGAGGAATCCCCTCCCCTGCCCCGAGCTGAGCTGCAAGCTGCACACCCTGCCTAGATCGGCACAGAGGCTGCCACGGGATGCGTTTTCCCACACTCCCCCACATCGGTGCCAAGGGGCTCAGCCTTGGCCCCTCACTCCAAGAGAGCTGGGACAGAGGCCTACGAGGCCAGGGCTACCCCCCTGCTTCCTCCACCCTGCTGTGTCTGGAAATCAGGGCTGCTTGCAGGCTTTGTTATGCTCCTTTCTCTTAATAGAAGAACTGGACAAGAAACCCTTTTCCTGGGTGTGGGCACAGCCCCAAAGTGCCCTCTAGCCCTCTCCGCTGCATCCCTCTGGCATCCAGTGCCCTCTTTGCAGGAACCAGACATGTGCGAACCCAAGACAGGAGCCAGGTCCTGCCGTGCTGAAGTTCATTGCTGCAGTCCAGCCAGGGACTCTGATCTTTGCTCTGTAGCTTCTGGCAGGCCCCTGTCCCTCTGCTGCCAACACCGGGGTGCCACGAAGAGGAGCCCTGTAGGGCGAGAACCAGCCTGGGAGCTGAGTGGCCGCCACAAGGAAGCATCCCTGAGCCCTCAAGGCTGAGAGATCCCCTCTCCCACCGCCAGGATCTTTTCTCCACTGCTCACATCAGGCTGGCGCCTGCTTCCCAGGACCTCGAGCTTTCTTTTTCGTCCCAGGTTAGAATCAGAGAGAAGTGGGGCTGGAAGGCACCTCCGGAGGACATCTGGTCCAACCGCCTGCCGGAGGCAGGATCAGCCCTATCCAAGCCATCCTGTACAAACCCACTGTGAAACTTCCTAAACTGCATAGTCAACCCTGACGCACAACACAAGACGTAACACCTGAACCTGCCAGCGGTAAAGCAGGGGCCCGCGATGCCCAATGTCCTGCTGCTCTAAATTGTTAATATATGCTCCAACTATCCCAGGAAGAAGGTGGCACCCTCCACTACAGAGGAAGGCAAAACCTCCCACTATCCAGACCCATCTGACCATGGGGTACAATCCCTTCCTGACCCCCAAATGTGGCGATGGGTCTGACCCTGAGCACAGGAACCTCAGGGCCTCTCTCCAAGACAAGCCCAGCCAGCTGCTTCCCTCCGCAGACGCAGACATTGTTCCACTCGCAAAGGCACCCTGGAAAAACACCTCCGCGCCGCGGCTCCCCCTCCCCGTTTCCTCAGCGGACGCGAGTCCGGGTGCTGAACTGAAGCCTCCGAGCCTGATCTCAGGAAGGAGGACAAGTGTCAGAGCGACAGACTCCCCCCTTCCCCGCCTGTCTGGCCTGCCCCTGCACTGAGACAGCTATATATAGATCAAAAGGCCTGCGATTAGCAAAGGGAAGAGCGGGGGCAATGTTAATTTAGCTCTTTAGCTGCCTGGTAAATGAAAAGCCAGGGATCCCAGAGGCAGGGAGAGACCAGCTGCGCAGGAGGCTCTGCCCTGGGACAGAGAGGGGCTGCCAGAGGAGGCTGGCACAGGGGTAGAGACCCTTTTTGGGAGGCGGATGGTGAGGTACCAGCGGCTCCTTCTGTCCATGTCTTCCAGCCTCAGCCTGCCCGTGGAGACTCCCCTCACCACGAGCCACCTTGCCCCAGCACCCTGCTCCAAACCCCAGCGGCTGTGAGCTTCCTCACAGCGGTGTGGTGACGACGACGAATCTGAGACAGGGATGAAAGCACTGGAAAGGTGATGGGAGCGCGGGCGCACGGTGCAAGCTCTGTAATGGGCACGTGAACCACAGTGGTCACTTGACAGGTTGTTAGCGGTCCAGTTATAGACATATTTGCACAAAAAAGAAAGCAGCACCCTGACGCTGCCAGCTGGAACGCCTGGTGCGTGGCACACCGCCACTGGTGTTTCCTGAACACGGCGCAGCAACCGAACCCGGGGGTTTTGCTACCGGGCCGCGTCTGGCCTGGGTGTGCAGGCTGCGTCTGAAGGCATGGCACACGGGCAGGCTTCAGTGCGCCCAGATCCGAGCAGAGCCGGGCACTGGGTATCCGCGGGGCACGCACGTCGTGCTTCCAAATGCCCTGGCTGGGCTCCGTCTAGACTCCCCGCCCTGCCCGGGAGGAGATTTCTCCTGCTCCCAGGAATT